CTTGAGGCGGCGGAACTCGGCCAGCGCCGCCGCCGAGGTCTGGTAGAGGAGCAGGGCCATGGCGCGGGCCTTCTCGGCCTTGGAGACCAGGACGGCGTGGCAGCGGAGCAGCACCGCCTTGTGCTTCACCTCGTGCCGGTAGATCCAGGCGAAGAGGCGCGGGAGGCGCGGGTCAGCCACGCAGTAGGTGACCCGGTGGAGCAGGTAGAGGTGCCCCGGGCGGGCCGCCGAGGAGGCGTCGCCGGCGGCGGCGGCGGCGGCGGGGGCCATGCGGATGCCCTGCGGCCCGAAAGTCAGCTTCATCTTGGTGCCGTGGCGCCCGGCCTCGCTCTTGGCCCAGATCTTGCCCACCGCCACGTCGGTGCAGCCCTCGCCCTTGGCCTGCAGGGTGGTGGCGTTGCCCAGGTAGAGCACCGTGTAGGTGGGCGCCTCGCTGCTCACGCGGAACTTCTTGCGCTTGGAGCGGAACAGGCTGCCCATCCGGCTGAGGGCGCCCTGGGCCGGGCAGGCGCGCGCCAGCGAGCCCAGCGCCGCCGAGCAGGGCAGCTTTTCGAGTTACAGACTTCCCTGGCCACAAAATTTAGGTTCAACTTGCAGCCGGAGAATCGACTTAACAGACCAGAAAAAAACCAAAATGGAACAAAAACAGCCAGTTACGGGATTAATAGGTTTTCAATGCATTGTAGGTCAATGGAGATTCAACCTACAGACTTTTCGACTTGCAGCCACTATTCCAATATGGATTAATTCCTTAAGTAGAGGGTCCACTGTATTATGAACCTCAAACTGAGAGTTGTCCTCCACACTGAATTCAACTTCAGTGTTGAGGAACCGTGATAGTTGTAGTGCAGTGGCCACTGGAGTGCCACAACTTCCAACACATTGAATTAAAATCTAATCTGGCTATGAATAATCGGAGAACTGTTGCACCGTTGGGCCAGACGCTACATTTCAGCTGCATCATCTGTATCATTTTTAATAATCTGTGAGCCACCATGGGTCTCTTCACTTGGAGGAGGGTGGCATAAAAATGCAAATGCATACATAAATAAATTGGAAACCAGGCATCATATCTACTTTAGGCAATGCCTTTGTTGACCAGCAAAGACTGGCTAATCAGTTTTCATTGCTGTGGGATAAGATTTCATATATTTGGGAGGTAGCCCATCTTGCTGGTTAATTTTAAATGTGTTCCCAGAACCAAGTTGAAAGGAATAATGGATTCTTGTCCCAAATGGGGAAAAAACAAGGAAACACAAACACTTGTACAAATGCAATATATAGTTTACAGCCATAAAATATAGCGAACAGAGGAACTTCCAATTGTATTTAGATGGGAGTCCACTCCCTTAAAACATGCTAGAACTGTCTTTAATAATAATAACTCAAATGAAGCTGTTTTGTAACTTGGAAGGTAGAAGGAACAAACCATTAAGATGATTGCCTTGGAAATGTTTGTTTGTCTCTCTTTTTTTATTTAAGTATTCTGACTTATATTTTTAACTACCCATTAGATAAATATTGGCTTTCTCATTCTACTGATTTCTTCAAACACACACGTACAGAGACAAATAAACAGAGAACCTCTTGGAAGCCTAGTGCTCATTCTGTTGGATAGAAAGTCTTTGCTAAGTAAATATTTGCAGAGCAAAACTGGAAAAAAGCTCTTCATATGTTCTAGGCATATTGACAGTGAAATGAGATGCATGATGGGCAAAACAAAGGCTGGTTCTCGGGAAAATGCCTTCTATGCATATTTTATTTGTTGTGTCTCAATCATTTTTTAAAAAATAGCTTCGAGACATCACCAGCCAGATGACATCATCTATCTGCATTAGACATTTGGCCCCGAAGGCTTCTGATAACTAGCTGAAATAGTGTGCGGGAGGCAGACAGGGCTGCTGAGCAGAGGAGGCCCGGGAGACGCAGCACCGCTGGCCGAGACAGCGAGCGGGCGGGCGGAGGAAGGGAGGCCGCCTCCAGGAGGGCCCGCTGCGGCCGCGGCCAGCGCGTCTCCTCCCAGGGGGTTGCCTTTCTTCCTCCAAGCCGCCTACCTTCTTGGAAGCCTAACCTGTCCCCAGAGTGCCTGACCTGCTTGTCCCCAGAGGGATCTCGGGGAGGCGGGGTGCCGTTTTCAGTCCGCCTGGGTGTTGGTTGTCCCCCTCACTGTGTGTTTAGGATGTTGTTTTACTGTTGTCGGACTGTGCCCTTGGGCTGTTGTCTGTGTAAGGTAAAGGTAAGTAGGTTCTCCTTGACCTTGAGTCCAGTTGTGTCCAATTCTAGGGCGCCGTGCTCATCCCCGTCTCCAAACCCTAGAGCCAGCGTTTTGTCCGAAGACAGTTTCCATGGTCACATGGCCAGCGCAACTAGACACCGAACGCTGTGACCTTCCCACCGTGGTGGTCCCTATTTATCTACTCGCATGTCTACATGCTTTCAAACTGCTAGTGTGGCAGGAGCTGGGACAAGCGACGGGAGCTCCCTCCGTCGCATGGATTCAATCCTACTACCGCCGGTCTTCCGACCTTGCAGCACAGAGGCTTCTGTGGTTTAACCCGCAGCGCCACCACATCCCTTTTGTTGTCTGTATACACAGTGGTATATAAAGGACAGAAGCAAAGGACCAAACAAAACAACAACAGTGGCGTCTGTCATGAAGGCACAGAGGGTGGTGGAGATGCCGAAGCAGCTCTTTGTGGTTCAGCATGACCCATGGTTCTGACTGCAGTTCAGCTCATCCCAAACTCCAGGACCTTTGGAAACGCGACCAGGTCCATTAAGGGGCCTTGGGAGCCCCGAGGGCTTCTTCCTCTCCCCTCCGCCTTCCAACACACCCTGTTTCCCCTTGTTTAACCAGCCGGAGCGTTGCTCCCTGCCATGGCACTGCTGCTGATTTGCAGACCCAGAGACATGGAAAGGGTGCTTTGACTGGTGCCCCCCTCGTGAGTTTTCATGGCCAAGCGGGGACTTCAACCCAGGTCTCCCGAGTCCCCTGCCCAAGTTGGACACTGTCCAGTACATTTATAAGAATGGCCACAATGACAGAAGTTTGGAGGGTGACCATGAGGAACCGGGCCTTCTCGGTGGTGGTCCCTTTTCTGTGGAATAAGATTCCAGCTGAGGTGCATCCTGGTATTTAGGAAATTAGTAAAGACCCAACTCTATCAAGCAGCCATTAAGCATGTATCACCAGAGGTGGTTAATATTCATGTTTGAATTTAGTTTTTTTCTTTTTCGCCAACTGTATTTGAGTCAGTTTGTGACCATATCAATCATATTGAAATATCAGGATGGAACTGGGGCAGGAGTTGAGGTTGTAGGGTTTTATCCTGCAAACTGCTCAGAGTACAGTACTGGGTATTAACTAATAGGGCAGTGTGCAAACCAAATGGAACTCAACAGATGGGAAACCTTGACCTCTGAGCGTTGAGCCTGGAAGCAGGCGGTGCACCGTGGCCTCTCCCAATTTGAAGAGACCCTTGTCCAGCAGGCTGAGGCCAAGAGGCAGTCCCGAAACCAGCAAAATCAGGGAGCTGGACAGGGGACAGATTGGATTTGTCTTCAGTGTGGGAGGGATGGTCACTCTCGAAATGGCCTTCTCAGCCACACTAGATGTTTTTCTAAGACCTCTATTCAGAGCATGTTACCATAGTCTCTCTTACTATGAAACCAAATAATTAAAATAAAGATACACATCACACTGGGTCTCTGAATGATCTGTATTTCCTAAGGAAAAAGAGAGTATGCAAATTTCCCGGACTCCTTGAGGAGAGGACTCCTCAAGCTGTGACTCCCCGGCCCTTGTCGGATTAAGAAGCAACCACAGCATAAGCAGCCAAGTCCTCTCGTCCTGCAAGGGCTCTCCTTCCTCGCCAGCCTTTGGTGAGCGCAAGACGCCTCCGGTGTGCTGATACTAAGAGGAGGCTTCAGGAAGTCTCGTGAGGTCTCACTTCCCCTTCTGGAAGCCGTGCTCGGCCTTGCGCTGCAAAGCTTGTTCCTTCACAGATTTAAGAATCATGGCCTAAACATCACCATGATGGGAGAGGGAAGAGAACACTAGAGTAGACCCATGGGGGGGGCTGGGACCATAAAAACCAGAACACAAAACTGGAAATCCACTTAGTCATTTTTAATAATGAATAATGTTTTGCATTAAACCTTGCAAGAAGCCCCTTTGGACTTCTAGAGGGTGTGGTTAACTTTTATTTTAGTTATTATTTTTATTTGATAATAAAACTAAATTATTGTTGTTTAGTCGTTAAGTCGTGTCCGACTCTTTGTGACCCCATGGACCAGAGCACGCCAGGCCCTCCTGTCTTCCACTGCCTCCTGGAGCTGGGTCAAGTAAAACTACAGTAAGTTACAAATTCAATAATAACCACATACAATGTACATAGGACTTTCCCCACCCGTGCCACCTTCACCCCTCGGGACTAGGTAACAGGGCATTGATTCTGGCAGGGACTGAGAAGCCCTTTGGTCTGATCCAGCCTCAGGCTTTCCTTTCCTTATGACAGCCTGTCTGTGGGAGATGAGATACAACTACTTAGCAGGACTATGAGCAAGAGAGACCCACCAGGTCATGCAACAAATACTTCAAAAAGTTTTACAGTATATGGAATAGCAAAACCACTGAAACCACTAAAACCCCAAGATTTCAGCATGATTTTTTAAAATTTAAAATATTTTACCCCACTTTTCTCCTTCAAAAGGATCCAAGATGGTTTACATCATAAAAAGTTATAAATGTATTTATTTATTTTATTTATACCCTGCCCATCTGGCCTAAAAGACCACTAAAAAAGATCAAACAGGCACCACTCCAAAAGATAGTAAACAAAAGCAGCACTAGAAACACATACAAAGCAGTCAGGCAAGGCCATCTGTTTAAAAACTTCACTCACACAGTCCGTCAATTAAGGCAAACCTGCCTGACGAGAAAAGACTTTGCCTGCTTGTGGAAAGACAGCAAAGGTGAAAACCAGCCTGCCCTGGGGGGGGGGCAGGGGGAGAGGAGTTCAAGAGTCTGTGAGCAGCAACAGAGAAGGCCCTTCTCTCGTGTGCCCACCAAACGTTCCGGTGAGGGTGGCGGGACTGAGGGGAAGGCCTCTCCTGACGACCTTAACACCTGAGCAGGCCACTGAGAGAGCTTGGACCCAGGCCATCGAGCGCTTTATAGGTTAGAACCAGCACTCTGTGGCGGGACTGAGGGGAAGGCCTCTCCTGATGACCTTAACACCTGAGCAGGCCGCTGAGAGAGCTTGGACCCAGGCCATCAAGCGCTTTATAGGTTAGAACCAGCACTCTGAATTGTCCCTGGAACCCTCCCCGTCCAGATCCCGGCGCAGGTCATCCACCGAGGCAATTAAAGAAGTTTCTGCCCCATAACCTGGCCTGAAGCCAGACTGAAATGGATCAAGATCATCCGTCTCATCCAGGAACCCCTGGAGCTGAGAAGCCGCAACCCGCTCCAGCACCTTGCCCAAGAATGGGACGTTGGAGACTGGCCGGTAATGACCCATTCTTGTAGGACTGAAGGAAGGTTGATTTCAGTAAGAGACTTACTACTGCCTCTTTGAAGCCTGCCGGGATCCTATCTTGCTGCACGGAGGCGTTCCCCACCCCTCGCACCCGCTCGGCCTGTCCCATTTCTGGCAGCTTCTATGAGCCAGGGAAAGCAAGGGTCCGGCAGACGTGCGGTAGCCATTATTCACCGCTTCTCCAAGGGTCCCGACCAGATCAGGAACCATTGCCTTACCTTAGGTTTATGAATGCTGCTCTCCAGATCACCCACAATAACCCTTTTTATTGCCTACTTCTTTGTAACCTATGACTATTCTAAAATATAAAATAAGTTCTTTCCAGAGGGGTGGACAGAAGAGAGGAAAAACAGATATAACAAAGAAGCAACCACAGAATGACAGCCTCAAGTCAGAAAAAAAGGCAGAACATTTTAACAGAACGAAGACACATTTGGCTGTTTTGGGTTTCCAGGGAAGCAGAAAGGCCTCTCCTTGGCGAGAGCGCCCCAGACAGGAGTGCCAAGTGGGCCTCCTTGCTGAACTGCATTCCCTGGCCGGCCGGCTGATCCAGGGCTGGCTTCCTGGCTGCCCCACCCGGCCTCCAGGGGTAGAGCCTTCTGGGGAAAGGCTTCAGGTATGGTGACCACTTCGAATGGGCAGATTGGCACCTGAGACTGGAAGAGGATGCCATCCCAAGCTGGCCTGTAATTCCTGGGTCCCCAACCCCCCCTCTCAGTATCTCCCTTTGGAGCTTTCAGGCAGGAGTAGTTAGGCGCACGACAGCCACCCATTGCATATCCATGAGGAGGGGATCAGTTTCATAGTTGAGTGATTTTCAAAATGAAGTGATTTGTGTCGAGATGAACTGGGTGATTTATGACGTTTTCGTGTGTGAAGTGGGCCAAGGCTGTCATCTCTCTTGCCCTCTGTATCAGGCCCAGTCCCGGGGCTGTCCTGTGGAAAAAAGTTTACGTTGGTTGGGAAGGAGGAGAGTGGTCGTCTGAAGCCCCGCTGCCTCCCTGAGCACCCCCCCAAGCTTCGTACCCAAAGGAAAAACGCTGCGTCCACAAGGCTGACCATTCGCTTCACTTTGAGGTTTCTCCTGCGGTGCCGTGTCCTGCCTCCCACTGTGGAAGTTTTGCTCCAGGCAGCCTTTCTGCCCCAGAGCTGGAAGTCGCCGGGGTCTGTTTCAGGAGCGGTTCACCCTGGAAGTGTCCAACAATCTGGGGATCAGGATTGTTGGCATGAGGATTTGAAGCCCCAGGGGACTTTGCACCAGCCCAGGGGTTCAGAGGATCCTTGGAAGCCCACAAACACCCCACCCACCCCAGCATACACATTTCATGATAGCAGAATCCAGAGGAGTCTCAAGAGAGATGGAAAAATAATAACAGAAGACCAAGAAAGAGGCAGAGGGGCTCACTTCCTATTTTTGCTCATTCTTTCCCCAAAGGACAGACGATGACCCTCCAGGCAAATGTGAAGTGCAAGGGGGGGGGGGGGACAGGACTGCAGCTGGAGGATGATAAACAGAGTCAAGGAATGCCTCTTGAAGGAGTCTTATCCCCAGGGTTGAATGGAGTGCAGGACACTCCCTCTTCTCCCCCCAAAATTTCCTTTATAATATTCTTATTTTTTTTATGTTTTTCATCCAGATCTTTATTGTATTTAACCCTTTCTCTATTAATACATCCTTAAGTTTATTTTTAAGAATTCTGGGGAAGCTCTGAGCCTCCACTACGTGCAATAAAACGGTGAAATAGGTGGACTCAATATATATCTATAATTATTCCAACACTCTACCGTATTCATCAGAAAGGGATTCGTTATTCTCTTTATTTCTTCTACAATTCCTTCATTAAAAAAGAAGCCCTCCATTCTGTCAGAGTGTTTTGGCACTTCAAGTTCCTTCCTTATTACCAGGAAGCTTCTATTTTGTACTATAATATCTGCTCTATGTCTAAGGTGGTTTGCGATGTAATATCACCTAGTATTTGGTAATCCCAGCCCTCCTTCTGGCCGTGCTGTGTATCCACAGGGCTCCCCTCCAGCACCACATTTCAAACGAAGGCCTCATCGTCTCCCCTTCTCAGCTTTCTCTCCTGCCCAGCTTTCGCACCCAGGCAGGCGGCTCTGACGAGGTGGGCCAGTGCGGATGAGCTTGGTCTCGGCCCCCAGTGACAGCTCCTGACATTTGAGGATCTTTTCTGGTGCCTTCATGGCTGAGTCACTTCCGAGCCTCGCGTCTTCTTCTGATTTCTTGGCTGCAGGTTATCTCAGGCAACTAAAATCCCAGGAACAGGTGGGTTTGGGGATGGGCCCTCTGTGAAAAATTGGAGACGTCTCATCAAGGAACCCCCGCCTCGCCTCGCCTCGCCTCGCCTCGCCGCCTCTGTGAAAAATTGGAGACGTCTCGTCAAGGAACCCCCGCCTCGCCTTCCTTCCTTCCTTCCTTCCTTGGTTGTGTTGCCCGGTGGAACCCCTTGCCACCACATGGAGTGACGTCATACAAAAGGGGACGGGACACCTCCAAGCAGGGCAAGCGAGCAATCTCGCCCCCCCCGCCCCCTCAGTGGCTGCGCGGGCGGGGGGAAGCAGCAAGAACGTTGCCCCGCCCACGGGAAAGAAGACCACGTGGGGGGGACGGAGTCCCCGCCCCTCCAACGAAGCTCCCTTCGCCCCGCCTCCCGTTCCGGCCTCCAGAGCCGAGCGCGGCGTCGCGTGGCCTTGGCGCCCCCTGGCGGAAGGGACCGAAAGGACCCGGAACCGCTCGCGGCGAGAAGCGATTCCTACCCGGAGTCTTAAGAGAGGAGTGCCCAGCCGGAGAAGCCTATTAGCCGAGCGCCGCCACGTGACCCGGATGCGTGCTCTCGAGCTGCGGTCCCCCTCTTACCGCGGCGGCGGCGGCAGCATGGGGAAAAAGAAGACGACGGCTTCGCCGGGGCTCGGCCGGGCCCTCATCCGGCAGCGCACGCAGGGCCGTGGGAGCCGCCAGGCTGAGGCCGGATGGGTAGGTGGGCGGGCGGAGGGAAGGGTTTTATCTTCCGCCTCCCCCCCCACGACCCTTCCTTCCCTCCCTTCTCCCCGTGGGGGGGCTGGAGGGTGGTGGGGGGCGCGCTTTCCCTCAGGTCAGAGAAAGGGAGAAGCAAGGAGACCCTCCGTCCCAGGCTGGCCCGGCCCTGGCGCTGAGCGAGGCTGGGCTCCGCTCCTCTCCCTCAGGGTAGACTGCTCCCGAGGGTGGAGGCTCGCCCGGTGCCAATCCCCAAACTCCCCGCAGCGAGAGGGGGTGGGAAGGCCTTCGGGGCGGCGGAGGGGCAGCGTCAGGCGGATACTCAGGACGCTCTTTCTCAGTCCCTTCGTGCTTGAGGACTTGGACCCCCGAGTTAAAAGGCCGCCTGCCGCTGACCCCTCCCCCCCGGATGGCGGAGGGGAGGCGGTTCCTGGTCCCTGGACAGCCGCCCTTGGAAGTCAGGTGTTCCCTGGGGCAATTTCTGCACATCCTACCCTGTTTCCCCGAAAATAAAACCTAACCTGATTTTTCAGGATGCTCCTAATATGAGCCCTACCCCCAAAATGAGCCCCAGTTCAGTGAAGCCCCGCCCTCCACCCTTGTGCAGCCACCAGAAGATGACTTGAATGTATTTGAATAAATGTAGATTGTTGTACATGAAAAAAAACATTCACTGAAACTAAGCGTTAATGCCTTTTTTGGAGCAAAAATTAATATAAGACCCTGTCTTCTTTTCGGGGAAACACACTACAAGCTGGAGGATGCCAGGGATAAGCGGGCTTGCCACTCTAAGCTGGTGGGTGTCTTGGGAGCCAGTCTGGGCTCCCGTTCTCCAGGCAAAGGATGGACCCTAAAGTGCCAGCCCTTGAGCTGATGGACCTGCTGGGCTTGACTTGAGCTTTTCCTTCCACAGCTGCACACCAGTGAACTGAACGACGGGTATGACTGGGGATGCCTCAACCTTCAGTCTGTCACAGAGCAGGACTCGCTGGAAGAGTTCCTGGCCACAGCTGAACTGGCAGGCACCGAATTTGTGGCAGGTGAGTTATCGTCCAAGCATGAATGACAGTTTTCCAAATCCTGACTCTTATATTGCTGCTGAATGTTTTCTGTTGTTTTGTAGAGAAATTGAATATCAAAATAGTTTCTGCAGAAGCTCATACTGGGCTCCCAACAGCAGAAGAGACCAAAAACATTCAAGACCTGCAGGAGCAAAACAAGCAATTCCTGTGCATTCCAAGAAGGCAAGTCTTTTGCTGCCAGGATGGGTGGGTGGGGTGTTAACATTTTATATTTTGCCCTCCCAGCCCTGTTGTTTGGCATTGATGGCAGTGTTTTCGCAGTTTTAGGATCAATGTGCTGAAAGATTTGAGGGTGTTGCTGGTGTCCTATTGTTGCTAAATATAATTAGTCATGATGTGGATCCTGACACACAACTGTCTATCACAAGGATGTTATACTTTATGTCAAGAGATGTTAAGCATTAGAAGTATGGTAAAAAAAGGAAATGGAGGAAGAAGAGGGAATATCTTGGTCAAATATACTCCAAATGGAAAGTTGGACTAGAGAGTGGACTAGAAAAGTAGGTGAGCTTAGAAAACTGAAAAAATCCTGGTCGTAAGGTTGATGATGGCACCGGGGGGTGGGGGCGATTTTTGTACAATATATATGTACACTTTGTGTTAGTATTGTCATTATTGTTTTTCCTTAATTAATAAAAAAATTTAAAATTGATAAAATTTGGTTATTGAACAAACATCAAGAAAAAAGAAGCAAAAGAAAGGGAATAGTTAGTAATATGTATTATTGAAGGCTTTCAAGGCCTTCATGTTTGGCCTAAAAAACCTACGACAACCAATAATTAGTAAAATTTATAAAACATTAGTATATTCAGGATTCAATCAAGCAACAACGAAAACCCAGTGGCAGTAGGATTTTGAGGATGAGATTAAAGGAAGACAACTGGAATAGGAGACGGTCAGAAAGAATAATGCAGAATATGTCTATAAGGGTAAAAGAAAATTGATATAAGGTAAGATGGAGATTCAGGGTCTGGAAAAGAATGTTGGGAAAGTGTGAAGGCAAGAGGAGAAGGAGACGACAGAGGACGAGATGGCTGGACAGGGTCATCGAAGCGACCAGCACGAATTTGACCCAACTCCTAGAGGCAGTGGTAGACAGGAGAGCCTGGCATGCTCTGGTCCTGGGGTCATGAAGAATCGGACACGACTTAATTACTAAACAATAACAAGCATAGAGATGATATTTAACTCCACTAAGACTGAACATACAATGGTGCCCTGCATAGCGACAATAATGCGTTCCGGATTAATCATCGCTATGTGGAAGCATTGCTAAACGGAACGGAAAAACCCATAGGAACGCATTAAACTTCGTTTAATACATTCCTATGGGGCCCAAACTCACCGTTCAACGAAGTTCCTCCATAGCACCGCCATTTTCGCGCCCTCTAAAAAAATAGATCGCTATGCAGATTCGTCGTTAAATGGTGCACTCGTTATGCTAGGCACCACTGTAATAAATAAAAATATACCATCTCAATACTGGAGATGCAGAAAGGAAAAAGGGACTTACATGCATATGTGATGGACATGTGAAATAAGATAGAAAGAATAGATACTGCTTTTGAAGGGAATTAGAATATTATTGGATGTTATATTCAGATATAACCAGTCATTGCTCTCCTGCATACAATTTAAGAATGATCATTTGAAAAAAGAACAGAAAGAGTTAGTTGTTATAATGATTACGGTAGCAAGATAAATATTTGCAAAGAATTTGGAAGAGTGACAAAGAAATTAATCTTGAAGATTGTTATAAAGAAATGTGGAGTTTAGCAGTTTAATGGTAAGTTAGCATGTGAAATGAAAATAAGAACAAGAATGGTAAAGCCTAATGATCTGAAAGATGTATGGAATTTGTACATGGAGTATGTCTTTTCGAAGGAGAAAGGCTGTATGCCAGCAGAAGAATCAATGTATTTTTGGAGAGGAATAGCGTGAAAAGTGGTAGAAATTGATATTATTGTTTAACTACAGTGGGGTCTTGACTTAAGAACGGCTCGAGTTAAGAACATTTTGACTTAAGAACCACTCTCATAGGAAAATATTAACTTGACTTAAGTACTTAGATTTGAGTTAAGAACTGAAAAAACCACGTGGGAGGCAGGGAAAGTGCAAAATTTGAACTTTCAGTTAACTGTTGGCCAGTGAAAAGGGTGCCTGTCTGCTTCCTCACTCCTCCTAGCGTTTCGAGAGTGGATTGGGAGTCTTCAGACTGCCTGGTACTGGACTGCCTGGACTGTATTTTCCCTGCCTTCCCTGAACCTTTCTTGACCTAAGAAAAAAAGAAACAAAATATCCCCCTCTAGTGGTCGAAGGCGGAATAGCAGCTTCCCGTTAGTTTCTATGAACGGAAAAGAGCAGATACGGATCAAATGGTTTTCAATGCATTCCTATGGGAAATGCAGATTTGACCTGAGAACTTTTTGACTTGAGAACCGCCTTCCAATACAGATTAAGTTCTCAAGTCAAGACCCCACTGTAGTCCCATGAGTGAAGATGGCGTGAGTGGGAAACATTTATTGCGTATCGTGTAGTTACTATTGAGTTTGTATTTTATTTTATTTTTATTTCTGTAATTTGCAATTTCCTTTTTTTAATCAATGTGTATATAGAGTAAAGGGATGTGGTGGCGCTGCAGTTTAAACCGTAAAATCCTCTGGACTGCAAGGTCAAAAGATCAGCAGTTTGAATCCACACGACACAAGGAGTTCCCATCACTTGTCCCGGCTCCTGCTAACCTAGCAGTTCAAAAACATGTAAAATGCGAGTAGATAGATACCACCACGGTGGGAAGGTAATGGCATCCGTGTCTACTCGCACTGTCCATGTGACCACGGAAATAGTCTATGGACAAACGCTACGCTGGCTCTATGGCTTGGAAATGGGGGTGAGCACCACCCGCTAGAGTCAGATAGGACTAGACTAAATGTCAAGGGGAACCTTTGCCTATAGGATCTTACAGGGAACTTCCAAATATTCTCTTGGATGCATCAGCTGCTAGTTCACGAGCCACCCCATGCCTTCTCTAACTTCATTCCCTTTTCCTTTCGTGGTTCCTTTAGGCCACCCTGGGACCAGCATACTAGTCCTGAAGTGTTGAACCAAGCAGAGAGAGACAGCTTCCTGGCGTGGAGGAGACAGCTTGCCCGGTGAGTGTGCCCGGGTGCTCCCTTGTTGGGCCCCCATGCTCCCTAGCATTCTGCAAGGGTCTGAGGGTTCTAAGAGGGGCTCCTCCTTTTCTCCAAATAAATCAGCAGACTTGCGAGGTTTAGAAATTGGAGTAACGTTTATTGCTGTATTTAACAGAAAGTCAGTATCGGCAAATGCGTTCCAACCTTTATCACCTCCTAACAATGGATCGTGGCGGCGCTGCGGGCTAAACCGCAGAAGCCTGTGCTGCAGGGGCAGAAGACCTGCAGTCGTAAGATCGAATCCACGCGACGGAGTGAGCTCCTGTCGCTTGTCCCAGCTCCTGCCAACCTAGCGGTTCGAAAGCATGCAAATGCAAGTAGATAAATAGGGACCACCTCGGTGGGAAGGTCACGGCATTCCGTGTCTAAGTCGCACTGGCCATGTGACCACGGAAGATTGTCTTCGGACAAAACACTGGCTCTATGGCTTGGAAACGGGGATGAGCACCGCCCCCTAGAGTCGAACACGACTGGACAAAAAAAAATTAACAAGGGGAACCTTTACCTTTACCTAACAATGGATCAGAGAGGGGCTTCCATTCTTCTTCTTTAAAGGGGTTTCCCCCAACAGAGTTCCAGGGTCCTGGCAGTCCATTGTCAGGTTAGAGTTCAGTAATGGTCCGGATTCCCCTTCCATTAGGGGTATTGTATCCTTGTCCTGGAGGTCCATCCAGGCTGGTTCCCAGGAGGGCGTAAGGGTCTGCCATGTTTTGACAGGTACCCCCCTCATCTGGGTCTCCATCACCCTTCATTCAATCCTCTCCCTCCTTTCCCTCTCAACATACTCCTTTTCTTCCCTCAGCTTTCTCCTCCACTCTTTCGCCTCCATCTTGTTGTGTAATTTATAAAGGAGGTTGTGAGACACCGAGATAAGTTGTTTTAAATATATACTTTATCTAAGCCTCTTAGGGAAAAGGTACACGGGGATCCCTAGCAAATAAACATAACATCTAAAAACATATTACATACCATATACAATTGAGCAAAATATGCAACAGCATTCCAGGTAACGCCAATAAGTAGGCAAACTCAAAAG